GCGGCTGCGACATCCCTCCTCACGCACCGTCTGCCGCAGCGGCTGCGTCTTGCACCAGTCGCTCCTGAGGTACTTGCGCTCGGTGACCACCAGGGCCTCCTGGCTGGAGGCCAGCACTTCCTGGCTCTGGTGCTGCCACCTCTCTGAGTTGCTGCTGCTGCCATCCTTGTAAGGCGAAGGGATGGCACCTGCGGGCCGGTTCTTCCGGGCCTCTGCCCCATTGACCAGCATGGCCACCAGGAAAAGGGACAAGAAAAGCTTCCAGAACATCCTGAAACACAACGAGAAAAGAGTCAGGGGGCTTGGTGGGGAAAGAGAATAGAGTGCAGGATCCGTCTTTTCTCTGGATGCTTCATTGTTTTGTTTGGAAGAACTACAGTCATGTGGGGCCTGGCTTGCTGCTGGATGCCCTGGGGCAGCTACAGGTGAGAGGTAATTCGGCAGTACCTTTGCAGACTGCTATGGGTACCTTAAGTAACACCCCAGATGGACGAAATGACCAGTAAGTACTATGTATCACAGTCAGAAAGCACAGTGTTGAACAATTATGGAAGAATTGCAAAAAAAAAGTTGCCAAGAGATAACTCAAGACAGTCAGCCAAAGTATCAATAATACTTCATGCCCAGCATTCACTCTGCTTTACAATGTGCCAAGCCAGTCATAACTGCTTTACATGTACAGTTGTCCCTTGGTATCTGTGGAGGACTGGTTCTGGGACCTCCTGTGGACACCCAGGCACTTCTCTCAAGAACTCAAGAGCTTGCCCACACACAGATGAACCAGCACAGTGTCACTAACCTGAGCAAGGAATCACTCAGTGCCCCAGTGTCTAGGCCCTGAAGATACTCACACGCAACTCCAACACTGAATATGGCAGAACTACCCACATGAAGACTACACTACCACATCTACCCAGAACCAATATTAAAACACCCTACTCAAAAGTCACTATAAGGCACATCTGTAGGAGAAAGTCTCTCTCCACAAAGCCCACTCCAGAGTAACAGAAGAAGCAACTGATCTACCAGATGATCAGACATAGTCATACTATACATACAAAGAGAGAGAGAGAGAATATGACACCACCAAAGGAATATAATAATTCTCAAATACCAGTCACCACAGAGCAAGAAACACTTGAAATGATTGAAAAGGAATTCTGAGTAACAATCTTAAGGAAACTCAATGAGATAAAAGAAGATTGAGTTAGACAACACAATGGAATGAGAAAGTGTATCCAGGATATGAAAAAGGAAATTTACATAGAGATTAATATCTTAAAA